GTCCACTTAAATACCGGGCATCGCTTTGCATTGTGTGGGGCTTGAACCTGTGACCTAAGCCACAAATCCTCCACCTTTTTCCACTAGAGCTAAGCCTTGGGATCCACTTAAATACCGGGCTTCGCTTTGCATGGTGTGGGGCTTGAACCTGCGACCTAAGCCACAAATCCTCCACCTTTTTCCACTAGAGCTAAGCCTTGGGTTCCACTTAAATACCGGGCTTCGCTTTGCATGGTGTGGGGCTTGAACCTGCAACCTAAGCCACAAATCCTCCACCTTTTACCACTAGAGCTAAGCCTTGGGATCCACTTAAATACCGGGCATCGCTTTGCATGGTGTGGGGCTTGAACCTGCGACCTAAGCCACAAATCCTCCACCTTTTTCCACTAGAGCTAAGCCTTGGGATCCACTTAAATACCGGGCTTCGCTTTGCATGGTGTGGGGCTTGAACCTGCGACCTAAGCCACAAATCCTCCACCTTTTTCCACTAGAGCTAAGCCTTGGGTTCCACTTAAATACCGGGCATCGCTTTGCATGGTGTGGGGCTTGAACCTGCGACCTAAGCCACAAATCCTCCACCTTTTTCCACTAGAGCTAAGCCTTGGGTTCCACTTAAATACCGGGCTTCGCTTTGCATGGTGTGGGGCTTGAACCTGCGACCTAAGCCACAAATCCTCCACCTTTTTCCACTAGAGCTAAGCCTTGGGCTCCACTTAAATACCGGGCATCGCTTTGCATGGTGTGGGGCTTGAACCTGCGACCTAAGCCACAAATCCTCCACCTTTTTCCACTAGAGCTAAGCCTTGGGATCCACTAAAATACCGGGTTTCGCTTTGCATGGTGTGGGGCTTGAACCTGCGACCTAAGTTACAAATCCTCCACCTTTTTCCACTAGAGCTAAGCCTTGGGGGCAGTCACAGCAAGATCATTATGCAAGCTTTCGATGGAAATTGGCCTTGACAATTGGAGATCATCCAACCTTTTCAAGTTAACAAGAAGTGAATATTCAGCATCACCATCCTGCAACAACAAAAAATTGCACATTTAACAAAATGCATCAATAGAACTAGTCCCCTTCAATTTGTTAAGGGCACATACAGCAACTTCGTTTATTGCAGATTTAATTGATAATGAGCTCATCTTCAATCCCCTTCTATTTGTTAAGGGCAAAGTCCTGTAACTCCCCACCACTCTCTGTAGCACAGAAGTTCAGAGCTTTTACACGAGATCTCAGAGCTTCATTCTCACCATGCTTAAATATTGCCTTTTTCATCAGAAGGAAAGCAGTTTTAAAATTCTGGAAAAGCAAAATAAAACAGCTTTTAGTTACCAGTTCAAAATAAATTACTTCATAATAGCAATCCCCTATATAGTTCACGATCTTAATAAGTTTAATTGTTCAAGATGCAAGCTTTTCTACAGTTTAAAGATAAATCAATAGTGTCAGAGCTATACTACTATTCCTCTATACAAAAGTAAGGTATGAGCTAGAGTTACGACCAATGAAGAGAAAACATTGAATGGGACAGGAAAGACCACCTGTGATATTTAGTTGGCGTTCACAAAGCTTCTAGAACTTTTGATGAATGGATTCATCAGGAGAGTACCCCAAAGCTTCTAGCTCCGTGGATGATGCAAGGGTTGCTTTCCTGAATAGCCACCACTGCTCTGAAAAAACAACACGACCTAGACCAAGAAAAACAACAAACTCAATTAACCAAAAGAGAACATAGTAGGCACTAACAGGAGATAAGTGAACATATAATTTTTGGAATAATGCTTACCCTACATGCAAGTTGACTTGCACGAAGACAGTAGCGACTAGCTAGAAGATCCTTTTCAAGGACAGTAAGTTTAGCCCTCCATGGTGATGATGCAACGAAGGCCTTCTCCCTTCAACATTAATTCAAAAGCCTTGTTGATTTAAGAAAATGGGTGTGTATGAGTGATGAATTTATCCAATTCAAGTTCCTTATTCATGTATTTCTCAACAACAGAAGGAATATCCGAACTAGGTTTGTAGTTTCCAAAGAAGGTTTCTTTGAGAGTCCTTTCATTCAGAAAGTTCATAGGGCATGTCTTTAACAAAGCTTCCTTATAGCACCAACAAGTACAGCCACTCCCCCACCCTTGATAATTAATTACGACAATGTTCGTTAAGATAAATGTATTAATAAGAACATACAATTAAGGAAATTTGATGATAGAAAACATACATCATGGACACATTCAAATGCTGGAATCATAGCATCAATATGGCCAGTACATTCCACACTCCTATCAACTCCACCATCAGTCATCTCAGCAATTACCTGATCAAATAATCAAAATTCAAGAAAAGATGATCAACTATAACTCACAACTGTCTTTTTTTTCTTTCGCGAAATGATCCATTAGGAGAAGTAAATATGAGTACCTCTTGAACTGGTTTACTATAATCCTTTGGGTTCACAAACTGTGTCACACCAAATTTCTTAGCTGTAGAATAAAAGTAAAACGGATGAATTAGTTGCTTTGCTATGAGACAAGTTACAAGGAAGGAATTACTCCCTCTGTCCCAATTTATGTGACTCACTTTCCTTTTTAGTCAGTCCCAAAAAGAATGACACATTTCTATAATATAAAGAGTAACAATTTAACTATAAAATGTCTATTTTACCCTTAATGAAATGATTTACAGCCACACAAATTTCTATCATTCATTTTGGACCACAAGTTTTAAAAGTCTTCCTTTCTTTCTTAAACTTCGTGCCAAGTCAAAGTACCTCATATAAAATGGGACGGAGGGAGTATAAAATAATGGATCAAGAATGTGTAAGGCACAAGTTAATTACCTTGCTCAAATCTGCTAGCATTTAAATCTACACCAATTATCCTTGAAGCACCTACAATTCTTGCTCCATCTGCAGCCTGACCAAATGAGATCAGATCATTAGTAAGATTAACATATATATGGATAAACATAACAGAACAAGAAAGTTATTTGCCATGTGAAGAATACTCACAGCAAGGCCTACAGCCCCCAGTCAAAAAATAGCCACACTTGAACCTTTTGTTGGTTTAGCAACATTCAAAGTTGCTCCAAGGCTTTCAAAAACATCTGCAAATAAAGGAATGAACGCCCTATCATCAGCATGTGTAAACCACCTCAATAGATATACACAAAAAGGATTCAACAGCGAGAAAGTAAAATCTAATTAGAATCGGTTAAAGAGGAATTGAAGCAAGCAAGCACAACAAAACAAAACTAATCTGACTATTATAGCTTCTGATGGTTTCATTCCTTGAATAGGAAGTGAGTCACCTTCAAAGAACAGGATTATTTGTACTGACTTTTTTTTGGGGACTGATAAGGTATAACTGAAGTGACTTTTCAAAGAGGAATGAGTAATTCTTATGGAATAATCACAGAAGGCCTTTGATTGTAGCTATGCATGTGGCTCCCAAAGCGATCAAAATGCTACAGAAATGCTACAGGAATGCCCTTCCCATATAGTTGGGAAGTCACTGGTTGAAAAGAGACATCAAATGGAGCAGGCAAGCTAGCTGATTTGACCATTCCACCATATTGATACATTTTTAGATCTTAAAAAAACCAGATTCATGAAATGATTAGCAAGTGAAAGACCGATCTCTTTGCACCAATACTCAAATACTGTTGCAAGATTGGTACTGGAGCATGGTTGAGACCAATTGAAAATACGAATGCCAGATCCACAATCTTTGGAAACGGAAGACCCCAGGCCTCATTAACAAATACACAAAAAGAAGCATATTTAAAATGCTCCTAATTTTTTCTTAGTTGAAGTTCCTATATTCTCTTAGTTGAAATCAGAATACACCTAACCTTAGGAACTGCGTCAGCAGCAACCAACTTCCCAACAGCACTGATTACCAATTTGCATAGGTGAGGGGTAGTTTTGGCCCTTTTCTGTTGAAACAGTTAAACTTAGCCATAGGGCTTTAATGGCAATCTAACAAGAAAGTATAGATCAAGACTACATGGCATCTCAATTCTAATTCAAATTTCTTTAATAAATAAAAGTGCTATGATATGAAGCATGATACTAAAAATTAATTGTTCTAGATGCAAGCTCTTTTTGAAACTGGTTTAAATATAATACTGTTAAGAGCCATACAATATTCCTCCATACAACAGTAAGATGTGAGCTAGAACTGCCATGAATTGAAAGAAAACAATGAATGGGAGAGCAAAAACCACCTGGAATATGTAGTTGGCGTTAACAAAGTTTCCAGAACTTTTGAAGAATGGAATATCTGGAGAGTACCCCAAAGCTTCTAGCTCTGTGGATGCAAGGGTTGCTTTCCTGAAACAGCCACCATTGTTCTGAAAAAACAACACAAACCTGAACCAAGAAAAACAACAAACTCAATTAACCAAAAGAGAAAATAGAAGGCACTGATAGGAGATAGGTGGAACATAGATGTTTGGAAAAATGGATACCCTACATGCAAGTTGACTTGCACGAAGACCTTCCAGAGATTTATTAGTCAGGAAGGACTTAAGTATTTCAAATAAGGACTGTGCCATAGTTTATGATAAGAGTGTAGGCATCAGTAAACATGCAGACGCATGTTAAGAAGAAGAAATGCAATTACCTAAACAAGTAAATTAAAGCAGTTGTGGTGGCAAGACTACGAAAAAGAATTATTCAAACTACAATATACCCACCTCGTCATCAATACTTCTGAAGTTTTTGAGAGTCTCTGCAAGATCTTTATGCAAACTTTCAATGGAAATTTGCCTTGACAATTGAAGTTCATACAACCTGTTCAAGTCAACAAGCAGTGAGTATTCATCATCACCATCACCATCCTGCAACGACAACAATTGCACATTTGACCAAGCTGCATCAATAGAACACAGTCACCTTCAATTTGTTAAGGGCACATACAGCAACTTCTATTATAGCAGATTTAAGTTTGATAATGAGCTCATCTTCAATCCCCTTTGATTTGTTAAGGACGAAGTCCTGTAACTCCCCACGACTCTCAGTAGCACAGAAGTTCAATGCTTTTACACAAGATTCTACGAGCTTCCTTCTCACCATTCTGAAAAAATGCCTCTTTCACCAGAAGGACAGAAGATTTAAAATCCTGGAAAAGCAAAAGAAAACAGATTTTAGTTACCAGTTCAAAAAAATTTATTTCATATTGGCAATCCCCTATACAGTCCATAATCGTAATAAGTTCCACAAATGCACCTGAAGGAAGACTTGGCAGACATCTGTGGGAGCATTTAATGAAATTCTCCATCTTAAATATTACACTTCTCCATACTGCACTAATGCCTATTTCTGGAACAATGATACGTTGACAATGAGCTCATCTTCAATCCCCTTCAATTTGTTGAGGGTGTAGTCCTGTAACTCCCAACAAATCTCAGTAGCCCAGAAGTTCAAAGCGTTTATTCAAGATCTCAGAGCTTCCCTCTCACCATGCTTAAAAAATGCCTCGTTCATCAGAAAGACAGCAAATTTAAAAATCTGGAAAAGCAAAAGAAAACAGCTTTGAGTTACCAGTTCAAAAAAAATAATTACTTCATATTAGCAATCCCATATATAGTTCATGATAGTAATAGGTTTCACAAATGCACTTAAATCTTGTCTTTTAAGAGAATAGAGCTCTAGGTTCATATGAACAATGAGTTCAAGAAGATAGGGAATTTTTGCTTTGTCAGACATAAATTTGCGCATAAGCTGTGGATAATTCCTCATCATAGCAATGGTTATATCACGCATAGAACTTTCAAACACGTCCTGGCGATTACAGCATAAGCATTCAAAGAATTCAGTATCCCGGAGTAGTATGGTGGAACAACACCAACATAATTTGTCATTGACAAAGAACACTTCAGAAGGAACCTTTTACCAAATTACCTCAAACATCATGTTCAATAGTCCAGCCATTGCAGCTTTCGGATCCTTCTCATAGTGTTCCACCCAATGCTTGGTCTTTTCTCAAACAATAGCGACTAGCTAGAAGCTCCTTTTCTAGGACAGTAAGTTTAGTCCTCCATGGTGATGATGCAACGAAGACCTTCCCCCTTCAACATTAATTCAAAAGCCTTGTAGATTTCAGAATATGGGAAGTGTATGAGTGATGAATTTCTCCAATTCAAATTCCTTTTTCATGTGTTTCTCAACAACAGAAGGAATATCCGAACAAGGTTTGTAGTTTCCAAAGAAGGTTCCTTTGAGAGTCCTTTCATGTAGAAAGTTCATAGGGTGTGTCTTGAACACAGCTTCCTTATGGGGTATACCAATAAGAACAGCCACTCCCCACCCCTGAAAATTAATTACGACAATGTTCATTAAGATTATTGTATAAATAAGAATATACAACTAAGGAACTATCTTTTTACACCAATAATAAAAAGATACAATACAATTCCATCCAACTTTATGGATGGAATTGGACAAAAGTAAGTTGCTATCTCACTAGACAAAAGAACAATATTTACTTTCTAAAAGATAAAGAGAGACCCAAAAGCTATAGTCAAAATATAAAACCAAGAGAAAAGATAGTCGAACAATTACATACATAAAATCAGTCAGAGCAAAGTAAAGGTGAACAGATGGCCAGAACATGCACACTGGCAAATGCAAAGATCAGCTCATAATCATGGAACTTCGAAATCAAACTTACCAGTCATCCACTTCAAGAAATCCCATAAGCAAGCCCAGGGGTTGACTATTTTCTAGCTCCGAGGAGCGCTCAGCAACTGCATCTGTTTCCATGTCAAATGCAGCATACAGATCCACCGTCACATCTCCTTGCTTCTCTTCATCCATGAGATCCTTCCCAGTAGCAGCAACAATTATTCTACCTATTTTGTTAGCCTACATGAATCCAAGAGGAAAGCTAAAATAACCCACTAACCAAACAAGCACGCAAAATTTCAAGCTAAAATACCCACATTGAACAGAAGTATTCACACTAGAAAATGTTGGAACCTCATCAAGTCTTTTAGCTAAAAATGCATTGTAATGGTCAAAAGCAGCATCCTCCTTGGGAAGTAAATGTGCATAACTGAAACAAAAACCAGGTCGCCAGTAGCAATAAGTTGAATTAAATCCAATAGTCCAGGTTACCTACCAAGAGCCAACTAGAAAGCCCAATTAGGCTTTGGGCCTTTCACAACTCAAATTAATCAGTAGATGCTTTGCTTTTGCTCAGAATAAGCAACTTCTTATATCAATAAACAAGAGTATGTAAAGATCCTACTTATTATCCCAAAAGGAGAAGACACATAAATAGCATATTGTTTCCCTGTATTCATTTTATCAAGCTTACAAGTCTCTGCCTTTTGTTGCCTCCCTAGTGCCCTTTGACACCAATCTCAGGGAAACATCCTATTTTATTATTATATTAAATGATCTTTTAGATGATAACATTCATATCATCCTTTTACAAGCAGTATGTTGTACATAAAAGAAGCCACGAAAAAACTACACGAGATAATCTTAACTCCTTAAAAATACTTTGGTCCAACGAATACAGTGCCTTTACTTATCTATTTTGTTTTACTATCATAATTCACATTAGTCGCCAGCATCATCAGAAGGCATCGGTATCCTATACTCTTAGTTATGTCAATGTGCAAGAGATAATAACCAAAATCACCAAGTCAAACTCTTAATTTTTTGATAAAATACACAACTTTTTCTACATTCTTTTGACAAGGTAAATTTCTCGATTTGTGCATGTCATCCAAATTATATTTACACATAAAGAAGGTGTCCGATAAAATACACAGTTAAATTACCATCTACAGCTTGGTGAAATAGATAATAAATAACAAAACCCATTTCTGCAAGAGCAACATAAAGAGAAAAAAAACCACTCAAGCACGAAGAAAGACATAATACTTGCTAGCAAGAAAGGTGGATGTTCATGCACTCTTTATGCACAACAGTTATTCAGAGCTTATTTAAAGCCTAATGTTCACTACAAAAGTTAAGTATCCTTTTTGGCACCCAAATCTTTAAAGAAATTGTAAAGCGGAGGAGGAAAAGGTGGGTTGAGGTAACCAAGTATACAGATATACTCACATGCTATCAACATAAATGAAGTCTCTTTTCACCAGCAAGGCCGTCAGCTGATAAAGTTCACTTGGAACAGGATCATTTACTTCCAGGCGTTGGTAGTATTGAAACTTAAACCCCAGAATCTGGAGGCATGGGACTGCAAATAATGGAGAGAAAATGGAAAACAAATGCACTTTCAAGACTGCGGAGCTCCACAAAACAAGAAAACAATAAGGCAACCACAATTATACCTTGGGAAATATGGGATCAAGTCCAAAATATACTATTTACCAGGCTGACGTTCAAAACACTCCAAAACCTGTATAATCACAGGCCAAAGATAGAACTGAACACTGACCTTTCAAAGGTTTAAAAGGAATGGAAGTCAAAAAATGGATTAAACAGAGTAGAAATGTACGATATCATTATGGATAAAGAACGTACAATATCAAAGACTCGGTTTGGATCCAAATCAAAGTGCCCAATCAACAACTGCATATGGTCCAAGAATTAGAAATACATAAAAATAAGATTTCAGCTACCAAAGTGCTGAGTTGAAAATAAACCTTGATTATGCCAACTGTAGCAGCTGAAGCATTATGGTTAGAACCCTCTGGAATTTGACAAAGGAGAGTGACCTACAATTACAGTCAATGGAAGGTCAAAATAAAGGAGAAAACAGAAGTTGAGCTACAAAGAAGTGGAGACGAGGAAAACATCACCAAAAGCAAGCATGAACTTCTAAAATTTGCCTAATCTAAAGAACAAACACATAGAGAACTTTGCTTTGTACAAAGCAAGAAAGGAATGGGATAATCCTTTTGCTTGGAAGGAGAAGTGTGAGTTCGGTCTTTCTTCCCTTACTTTAATCCAATGACTAAAGAAAGGGAAAGGATGAAAGTTCGCACCAGACACTCCCTTGTATCTGTAACCATCAGTGTTTAAGGGCAACCAGTTTTCATTGGACAGGCAGAAGTCCTCCAGTCACCTCCCACACTTACGTGTCATTTAGTTGCACTTAATGGGGTCTGAATCTGAATGCTTCAGATCTCGGTCCATTAAGTGCATTTGTTTTTGCATTTTAAAATCTCTTAATGAGGGAGGCAAGACTGAAATGATTCGGACATGCGAAGACAAGATTGCGCATATGCCCCATAGAGGAGGTGTGAGAGGTTGTCTATGGGGGTCTAAGGAGAAGTAGAGGTATGCCGAAGAAGTATCAGGCAGAGGTGAGTATATAGGACATGGAACACATACAGCTTACCGAGAACATGATCCTAAATAGGAAAATATGGAGGCGAGGATTACAGTAGAAGGTTAGAAGGTAGTTGAGCATTGTCTAGTTTCCCTCATAACTATTATTAATATTACGCTCCTATCTTGTTCTTCGATTTTTATTGTTGCATGTTTGCTTTGCTTCGGTTATCGTACTATATGTTGTTACTATTGTTCTTTTCTCCATTATTTTCGATCTCACTATTTTACTATTGTATTTCTTTTTCATACTAACTTTTATATAAAGTCATATTCTTTAATTGAGCTGAAGATCCATCGGAAACCTCTCTAGCTTCAAAAGGTAGGGGTAAGGTGCGCCTACACACTACCCTCCTCAGACACCACTTGTGGGATTACACTAGGTTTGTTGTTGTTGTTTAATGGGTCTGAACGAACCTGAATAAATCACATTTCAGACATATTTAGAAACGCTACTTTTATTTCCTGAAAAGTTCACGCTTCTCTTTTTCTCTTCAACAGAAAATTTCATACCTCTTTTATATTCAAGAATGGTAACAGTATATTTAAAAACACTAAGGAAGTGTTATACCATATTTACAGCAACAGAATAGATCAAAAGTGATCTATCTACAGACTACCTAACATATCTAACAGAGAATCTGTATTCTCTACATGGTTTAATTTACACCAAATATAAGACAAAATGATACAATTCATCTTAACTTTTGCATAGAATTGCATGTCTAAAAAATATTCTGAGTTCCTCTCAACCACCATATGCAAGCAGGGACCACTCCACCACTGTTTCTGTCTCACTATGTTCCCCTTGTTGTTCCAGGTTCTAGCAGATCAGCAGAATTAACAGACATAGTCCATCTACACCCCCACCAAGTTTAGGAACATAGCCACAATTGCAAGTGAAAGACAATATAAACAGATGGCCATGGATTTTTAAAGCTTTTCCACATAAAACACCTTGAACACAATTGAAAGCCCTCTGTTCTTGAGTTTTCTTGAGTTAGGCAAGCTTCTCTAGCAACCAGATAGGAACTTTAGCCTTCCAAATACACGTCCATGGCCAATTTACAATGGATTGGCCTGCCTGTGAAAGGTTAAGATGCTCTGATTTAACAGTACAAATCCCATTCTTGTTTTTGTTCAATAAGAGTATTCTTCCTCCTTTTTGAAGCTTCTACGCTAAATTAAAAATCATTAATTCTCCCCAGATCCCAATCATTTAAACCTCTCCTGAAGATGATATTCCATCCATTCAATCCCCAAGCACTATCCAGATTGATGTCAGGAAGTGATGCTATAGAAAAAGAACTCAGGAAACATGTCTTTTAGTGTACCATGACCTACCCCATTTATCATGCCAAAATGAAGTCCTTCTCCCATTACCCACCCTTGTACTAGTATTCATCTTAAAAGAATCGCATAGTTGCCTGCTAGCTTTCCAGACCCTGTCCCATGAGGGTTGTTGATTGGACTTGTACATCACTGATCTGTGTGGTTCTATTTTTCACCAATGACTAAACTCCACAAGGCATCAAGGTCAGAATTGTACCTCCACAACCACTTCATGAGTAAGCTTTGATTATGTGCTTCTAAGTTCCTACGGTCCATCCCCGTCCTTTTGCTGGTAATGAGAGATTCCCAATTAACTAAGTGCATGTTTCCCTATCTTCCTCACTCACGAAAGCTCTCTCTTTTAAAATTGAAAGACAAAAGTAAGAACTCCAGTTAAATAGCCATCACCCATTTTTCTCTTTTTTTCATTGCTAATTTATTTTGGATTTCACATACTGCTTCCTTTCACTTTTACTTATATACAATACTAGAAATAGATAACTTTTACTTGTCCAATTTGGAATGCGAAGAGATGATTTGTCATTTTAGACTATTTTACATTTACTAATCATTTCATTTCCCAACATGTAGCTGACTTATATAATTAGGGGTATATAGCAAAAATTTCCATTTTTATTGAATTTAAAAGAACAATACATAATACAGGAATAGTATACAAAGAGAAAAACATAATTTCCACCCGTGCTTTCAACAATAATTGAGGAAGTCAAGCCTAAAATTTATATATAATCTCAAACTGCAATAATAAAAACTACAGAACATTAGTCCAACTAGAAGACCACAACTTCCATTCCTCCTTTCAACATAATAAAATTTCAGAATGACACGCAAACTAGAAGACCATAATCTCCACTGTGCTTTCACCAATAATCTAGAAACAAAGCCTAAATATGTAGATTCTCAAATCCAAATTAAAACATCAAAACTACTGTAACAAAACCTACAAAACAGCAGACAAAATTTATAATACCAATTAAACACTGATGAGCATTTCTAGCAGAAGTGCCTCCTAAAGCCTTACTCGGACGATTCTTCTCTCTCTTCCTCATTCACAGTGTTGTGTAATTGCCCTTCGTTAACCCTAGTTTGAGTTCTCATTCGTTTTTGTACACGATTAACTCAATAATTACGTCTCAACTATTAACTTAATCAGTTGAATACGTTGAAATAAAAAACCAAACTCACCATACAACAGATTCGCTGTTTCCAACACTCCTCCGAGAATTGCTGTTGCTGTAAGCCCTAGAAACCGAAGCAAAAAAGCGTGAATTATACAGAAGAACGAGACGGTGAGAAAATGCAGAGAATCGCTGTTTCCGACTCACCATACGACGACGATTGCTGTTTGCGACACCACTGGTTCATCCTCCGTGAATTGATGTTGCTGTAAGCCCTAGAAACCGAAGCAAAGATCAGAAAATTTCCGAAACCCACCAAGAGAGAAACCCTATATAAAAAACCAAACTCACCATAGGACGATTCGTTGTTTCCGACACCACTGGTTCCTCCACAATAGCACCAGAGTTTTCAGAATCCTCGAACGATTCTTCTCTCTCTTCCTCATTCACACTGCTGAGTAATTGCTCTTCTTTAACCCTAGTTTGAGTTCTTGTTCGTTTCTGTACACGATTAACCCAATAATTGGGTCTCAACTATTGACTTAATCAGTTGAATACTGTTGAAATAAAAAACCAAACTCACCATACAACACATTCGCTGTTTCCAACACTCCTCCGAGAATTGCTGTTGCTGTAAGCCCTAGAAACCGAAGCAAAAAAGCATGAATTATACAGAAGAACGAGACGGTGAGAAAATGCAGAGAATCGCTGTTTCCGACTCACCATAAGTATAAAAGGTTTTTAAAATCTATAAATTAATTGACAGGTAAAAATTACATGAAGGGAAGAGAAATTGAAGGATGGGTTACGTGTGTGAGATAATAAGTAAATTAATTTTATTGGAATGAAGTTTTAAAAATATTTGATATTTAAATATTATTTTTATAGCTATATCAACTATACTTTTAGTTTTATAATATATTATGTTGAAAACTTTCTAAGGATAATATTAATTTTATGATTATTTTACATGGATTAAACATCAAATACTTTAATTTTTACGTGTTTGTCCTTTATTATTTTATAAAGTTTGAACTAAATTATTATTTTTTGTTTAACAATTTACTAATTCAACACTCCACATGAAATATTTAATATCAGGTGAATAAATGATATATTGATAGATTTAACTAATCTTTTATTCAAAATCAAAAGATTCAAAATATTCTTTACTATTTTAAATTTGCGTAAATTATAGTAGAAAATGATTTAAAGATAAAAATAATCTTAATTAATACAATCGCTATATTAGGTTTACTCAAACTGTTTATTAGATATTTTAAAATTTGATTTGAACTATATCATGAAAATATGAATATTTATGAAAAGGGTGTCACGTTGATTTGAACTTTATCTGGTGAAGCATATTATGTGTAACTATAGTTATCATGAAATCAAATATTTTAAATTTTAAATTAAAAATTATATCATATATGTTAAAATCGTAATTTTGAACTTGAATTAATGTTATTATATAACGTTGTGAACAGTCTTAAATTTATTAAATGGCTTATAATTGTGATATTGTTCAGCATAGAATTTAACGTGTCACTAACCAAAACGAGAACCTCCTAGGTGGGCGAACCAACAAATCCAACCCAACTTATATTAATTGTTCAAATTACGAAATACTAACCATAATGCGGAAGCTTAGATCTTATTATATAATAAGAAATACAAATCCACTAGCGTCTATTAAATATCGTTTCCAAAACCTGAAAGTCATCACATCGAGGACATCTAATCTCCAATTACTAAGTCTAACAGTATCAAAGACAACAGGATGAATAAATAAAATAGTTTATGTCCAAAAAACTAAGGACACCATGCCATGGCTGAGAGAATCCAACACGAGCTAGAATGAATAGCTCACCCTGGAACCTGAGGTGGTGGAAACTGGCTAGAGTTGAGGGC